TGCGGTATCTATTTAATGCTTGTTTACAATGGCTTACTGCGTCTTGACAATCTGAATTCCACCATGGGACCCTTTTCCTATTATTAGGAACAGAAGTTTTGCCGATGTATATATCTGCTGCAGACGTAATGCAATTAATGAGAAGTTTTAAATATTGGTCGATATCCTCGGATACGGTAATAAGTGGTAGATGTCTTTCGGTATAAGCACGAAAACCAATCCAATCTGCGTGGGCAATTCGCCATTTTGTAATATTATTTATAGCATGACTTTCTTTATTAGTAATTTTTGTCGGAAAATGATTGCTATCAAAAAGGCTCTCTAGAGTGCTCCAGTTAAGTGATGTTGCAATTTTTGGATTAGAAAAACTTAGGTCTATTGAAGAGAAGGTACCGGAGGAAATATTGAAGTGTGTACTGGATTTGGAATTTAATATACAAGCATTGGAACAATTTAAAACATTTTCAATAATTTTTCCTTTTCCGAAAGTTTTATTTGAACCCCATAAGGTGTTATGGGCATTGAAGTCACCTACCAATAAAAATTGACTAGGAAGTTGGTGAATTAAGTCAAATAGTTCTACTTCTGTAAGATTATAATTAGGGGGTATGTAGACACTACAAACAGTAATTTTTGTAGGACACCAGATAGATACTGCAATCGCTTCGAGGTTGGTGGTTAGCAAATAATTCGTTGAGTATAAATTTCCAGAAACAAAAATTGACGTGCCGCCACTGGCTCTAATATATTCATTTCTGATGTGATGATAACTCACAAAATTTTTGAGTTTGCCTGGATTAGTTTCTTTAAAATTAGTCTCTTGTATGCAAATAATGTCCGCCTCTGTTTCAGCAATTAGTTGTTGGATACGTTCATAGCGCGGATAAAATCCGTCGCAATTCCATTGTATTAACGTGAAAATGATTTGTATAAAAAGGAAACAATTGAGTAAGTTAATAGGTTGATTTTTGAGATGCTTGTGATGAGTCTGAAAGGTAATCATCTGATTGTTGCGATAGCGTGTCCATGCTAGTATTTTCTGCAAGTAAACATTTATTTATTTTTTTAGAAAGTCTTGTAAGTCTATTTTTTATTGATCTTTCTATTAAGCATGGATATATTTGCTGCAGGTCGTTTAATAGGCCTTCGACATCTTTAGTGAATTGCTGGGCCTCGTGCAAAGGATTACTGCTTCCAAAAGAATTTTCGAGGAAAGATATTATGTGATCTGCAGAAAGAGTGAAATCTTTCGGAGTTGCTTTATGTAGGTTATGAATGGCGTCCTTCGTGCTATCCGATAAGCTCAGTTCTTCTGATGATTCCTTCCTTGCCCTCTTTTTAATAGACTTGGTGGTGTCATTACAGTTGGTGGGTGGAATTTTTGGAGGAGGCATAATGTTAACATTGACATCAAGTCCATCAACACTTTGTGATTCACAGAGAGAAATTGTATCACAGGAGGGCGAGTGGGGTCTTTTTTGACTAGGAGTTATAAATGATGATGTTAACTGGTTATCTTCTGTAGGTGTAATAGGCAAGGTGATGACTGTTGCGTCATGCGAAGATAGAGGTGGCATTTCATTTTGTTGAGAATCTGTTAAAGTTGTGGAGATTGTGTTAGATACTTGGATTGGTTGAGAGTTCTGTGAGAGAGAGGGAGTGATTGTATTTGGGCACTTAGTAGCTATGTGTCCATGTTGTTTGCAGAGGAAACATTCCATTCTGTCCGTGGACAAAAAAATTCTGTATGCAGTGTTATCGTGTGTTAATAGCAAAGATGTTTGAAGCTCAAAGTTGTCGTTAGTTGGGGTGACATAAACCTGCCGTCTGAAGCTCATGATATGTGCATATTCATCTCCTGGGATGCCTGCTTTCAGGAAAGATATGGGTGAAACTAGATGAAGTCCAAAATCAATTAAAGCTTTTTCAACTAGTTCATCAGGTATTGACATATAAAATATTCCCCTGTACTTTCATTCGGACAAAAGAAAATTTTATTCTTTGGTTCTGATTTTATCGTACTTTTTAACTTCTTATTCTCGACTTCCAATTTTTTTTTTCAATCCTACATTGCCTTAGACGACGCTTAAGTTCTTTCAAAATTTTATCTAATTTACTTATTTCATCCTCCATTACTTCATACGATTGTTTAAATTCATCGATCTCTCGTTTTCCCCCCATTTTCAGATGTTAATCTTGTTAAGTTAGCGAAACATTTTTCGTGTGTATTCTTCAATTTTTCATTTTTCCCGTTTAAATAGATAATTTGTTCTGTCAATAAATCTTTTTGTTTAAGGATTGTTGTTTGCTGCTTCAGACAAACTGAATTACTGGTTTCCAGATCAATCTCCATTTTTCTTTGGCTTTTGGAACAATCATCTATACTATTTTTTCTAGCTCGTTCGCAGAAAGTCACTTTTAACCGCAAAAAGTCTACCTCATCTTCATAAACTTTACAGCTATGCGTAGGGTTATTTAAATGTGGATAGGTTTCTACATCACCAACTACATGCCCCTCCGTCTTATAGAGCATCACCAAAAATACGATAACTAACATTATAAAATTTAGTAATTAAACTTAATAACTGAACTAATGTTGGATATTATTTAAACTTAATAACTGAATTAATTTAGGATAACCGAATACTCATATATAGGTATTGTTATTAACTCATGACAATATATGATTACAACATTGTTGCAAGTACAATGCATGTACTTGTAAGCACGAACTTAAGGATTATTTTTATATAATTTATAAAATTAAAAAAGCGACATTAGCAACAGCAACATTGTTGCAAGTACAATGCATATACAAAATAGACGATATTTAAAATTTAAGATAAAAACAAAAAATTGTCTATTCAAACAATTGTTTTATTGTTGAGTACAAACATTTTATGCAAACAAAATCTAAAAATAAAGATGCTTAAATAATATTTAAAGAAGATAATTATTATATGTTATAACAACAAGAGATTTATAAAATGTATGAACATTTTTAAAAAATAAATTTAAAATGATATAAATTTAATAATATAAATTATTATTATTTTATAAATAATAAAAATACGGCCCTGGAAGGTTTACTCTAAAATTAGCAAAGTATTAAATTTATCGGTTTTTGGGTTTAATTTATCGCTTTACAGAAAGTGATAATATATGTAATAAATTTAGTATAGATTAATTTGTAGCCTTCAGACCGGAAAAATAGTCTGATTATAATAAAAATATCTAAAAATAAAAATTTGTATTTTTAGCTAATTTTTATATTCTTTTCAAATTATTATAAATATAAAAACTTTCCGCTTTTACCTTAAAACAAAAAAATAATATGATAATAATAAAAAAATAATATGATTATACTTCAATTAAAATAATTTGACTTTAAAATATAATTTCCTTTTTTCCTTAAAAGCGCCAGAAGTTGTCTTCTCTCCTCAGATTTGGTTTTTTTGGAGAATATTTTCTGCACTTCTATTTTAGACGAATGATTTCTTTCCATATGCCTTCCAAAATTCAGTACGATTTACAAAAATAGCACGTATCGTTATTCCTTTTATATGGTGTCTTGTTTCATTTAGAAATAGTTTTCCACAAGTTTCTATTAATATTCTCTTTATTTCTTATTGATTCGCGATTTATTTTATGAACCTGCATTTCTGCATCCCCACAGTTTACCTAAAATATAAATAATTTGATAAAAGATATTTTAAAATTTCAGGATATGATATCATTATTTGAACTACTTTTATGCCACTAATTGTTGGACTTAATCATTAGTTAAATTTGGTAAAATATATTTTTCCGGAATTTTTGTCTTATTCTATTTTGTAGAATGTGGACCTGAAAACAAATAGATAATTAATTTTGTGATAACTTTCTTAACTACGTTGTTACCTTTTCAAACACCCTTTCCGTATTAGCATCATCAGATAAGTTCATTGTTAATAGCCTGTTGCAAAACCAATTTTTTTTGTCACAAAGAACTTGCAACCTTCCTAATAAAATAAAATGTGTAATTACACATAAAAATATTGCTACCTAATAAATGCATTATTATTTACCTTGTCTATAAAAACTTGACATTTTTCTTAAAACTTAGCACACCTGAAATGAACTGAACGCAGTGAATCCCAAATCCAAACTATATACTACACGGACAACGATGAAACGGTAGCAGTTGAGCGAAGCGTAGTAAATCCTAAATTCAAACTACTTATTACTTGGAGAACGGTAACAGGTGTAAATATATTACAGCTTTGCCAATAGTTTGAATCAATATAGTGCGTAAACTGTAACGAGCATATACGTAAATGTATATTATTTGGTGCTCTAGCGGACAAACTCGGAACTTTTTTTTGGATATTATTTGTTACTTTACTAACTATATTGACTCCGCCGGAATTGTCAATTGGGCATCTTAGAAGTGAAAGAATGATACAAAAATGTAACATATAAATCAGAAGAACACAACGGTATTATCTTTATTCATAAGGAGCCGCTATGATCATTATAAACAGAGAAAATGGACAAAAACTATATTGCTTCCGATATACGGAAACAATATAGTCGGGGAAGCAAAATGTAATGTGTTGAGTCTTTTATATGGAAGCAAAATAGTGCTAAGATTAAATATATATAACTCAATAATATATTCCACCATACCACCATACCTAAGATGGTTATTATTGGAGATTAGCACCAGTTAGGTGTCATGACGAACATCTGACCATACATTCGTGGTTTACGTATCCGGAGTCTCAATATAAATAAGTGAATCTGTGTCATAATACACAATATTTCTCCCTAGTTTATCTAGCATAGAATAAAGCCTAAAGCGTGCATTTGTCGTTGCGAACGACGCTACAAATATATTTGTAGATGTAGAGTTATCGTAAAACAAGGCTTTGTATTTATAATTGACCTGGACAACATTATCGTTAATAAATATGCAATTGGAGATATCTATTTTATCATTTAGTAAACTTTTATACCATCTAAAAGAATGTAACGAATTCTGATTGCTTTATTTTTGACCGTTGTGGAAGTTTCTCCAACAATGAGTTTAAGTATATTTTAGCTATATCCCTTTTGCCAGGATTAGGTTTTTTCTCTAATTCAAGCTCAATGTTTATCTGCTGTTTAATAGCCAAAGCATAAGCTTCGTTAGATTCATAACTGTGAGGCCTGGTCTCTAATTTTATTTTCATAAAATCACGTATATAATCTTTAAAAAAATTAATCGATTTTTGAGGGAAATGCCACACTTCGAAAATTTTGTCAATGGTGTAACCTTTTTCCAAAGCTTTATTAAGTTCTAAGGTGGTACACGTGCCCGTAAACCATCTTTCCGAATCTGTGTGGGTACATTGCTTTACGGAATTTTCCATACATGATTTGTATAAGGCAAACGTTAACTAAGTCGTATTAACTGGAAGAACAGGATGATATAATTGACGAGGTACTAAAACTTTACATTTCACCAAACCAAACCATGAATGGTTGTATTCGGTCGGGTTAAAAATATTTTCAGGGTTCCCTACAGGGAAATAATCATAAAACTTTATACTAGGGTAAAAGCTCACCACATCAATATAACAACATTTTTTACCAGTTACTTTTAGTTTTGAGGCATTAGTTCTACCACAAAAAAACTTTTTCGTGCTTTTAAGGGCTCCATGTTTTTTACAGGCTCAGTCTTTTTGTATTCTAGTGATTTTAACCAATCACATTCCCAAATTTCGACCAGCCTGTATCCTCCTTTTTTTAATTGTTGGCTTCTCCGAGTAGTCTTCTCGTAAAGATCCTCCATTGTCAAAATTTACATTATTCACTGTTGAAGGGGATTTAGGACAGCCGTGCCAGAAACAACCGTGATACTGGTATATAGTATTTGTTTCCTTATTCAACCACCTAATGGATGCCTGGCTGTACATATCTTTTTTTTTCGGTTTCAACAACAGCTATTGTGTTTTTAGAAGATATTTACTTCTGTATATAGAAGCAATATCTGAAAGGGTCTATATTAGCTATTTCTAAAAATTCTTTTTGAAAAATCAGACAGCCTCTTCTTAACTCTCCGGCGGGCGCGCTTTTAAAAATCACAAGAGCGGGCGCGTAGCGGCACTACATGCCGCAAAAAGAAAACGCACGAATTAAATTCAAAAAAGTAAAATTTATTTTCTAATAAAGTAAAAAAATCTTCTAAGCAAAATTAACGAGTCTCTCTAACCGTTAGACTAATTTCAAAAAATAAAAATAAAACGTAAGTATAACAAAATAAATTTTATTTCTAAACAAAATCAGATAATATAATATTTCTTTCTAATCTTCCTCCATTTCATCCACTTGAGTCGGCACACAATTTTGGCAAGTAACAGTCTTAGTGCTGACCTTTACAAATTTTTGACATAAGCTACATGTTACTGTGGTTCTATTATTCTTTTTAGAGCTGCAAACATAGCACCGTCCATTATGATTTCTAGTAGCTGCTGTCTCAACCTCAGTCACGGAACGATATTTTGAAAGAAATGCTGATATATCCTTGGGAAGCTTTGGTATTTTAGCTCGATCTTTTAGATGGTCCTCAAACAGCTCAAAAGCTAATTCATTTAGAAAAATACGTCTTCTAGGAGGATCAGCTAAAGGCTTAGTATTATTGTAAATAATTTCAGAATTGATTCCGGCAATATCAAGCATTCAAAAAAAAATTGCAAGAGGCCATCTTCTAGTAATTCTTTGTGTGGTGTACGATGCACATTTCTGGTCAACAATGTCAACCCCGCATTTTGTTCTATTGTAATCCAAAATTAATTGTGGTTTGTTTGTGGTCTCATCAATCTCATCTTTATCGTGCATAGTTGACAATAAAATTACAGCCTTATTTTTTTTGCTCACATATGAAACTAGAGTCATATTATCTTGAAACCCAAATAGAGTGGATCCTACTTGGCGTGAAGCATTTGGAAGAAAATCGGTTGGTATTTCTTTTTTGTTTTTTTTTTTTTCATTGTACCGATTAACGTTAATCCATTTTGTATGAGCATCTGTATGAACATTTATTACTTGCATAGGCATATCCGGAATATCAACGTTTTGAGTAAAATCAAACCAAACTACTCTTCGTAGATTCTCAAAAGTATAATAAATTTTAAATAAACGGTTAAAGACGTTGAAAATCATAGGAGCAGACTCTGATTTCCAACGCTTTTAACCATTCGGCTATCTCCACTTTTGCTAATGAGTACAAAGACGTAATATTTTACGTTTTTTTGACGTCATTTGTCAATGTTATCTACCATCACAGAGAGAGGCGTTCTGAAACAGCGTTTTTATGTAAAAACAACGTTAAAAACGACGAAAAACGACGCTTTTACGTTAAAAACGACGAAAAACGACGCTTTTACGTTAAAAACTACGAAAACGTTGAAAAACAGCAAAAACGATGAAAATGTTGAAAAACAACAAAAACGACACTTTTACGAAAAAAAAAAAAAAAAAAAACAAGATTTGTTTTCATACTTTTTTTTTATTAATGATATATACAAAAAATTAGGTTGTGTTACAAAAGCTAAAAATTAGCGAAACTCTTTTACAATATAAAAAACGTAGGATACAAAAATGAGATTGTGCTACAAAAGCTAAAAATTAGCAAAATACAATATAATAACAGAGAGAGGATAAGAGATTCTTGTTTTTTCTTTTTTATTAAAGTCATTAATGAGCGTGCGCCTGAATTGTACGTTTACGTTTTATATTTAAAAACAGCATATCACTCAAACAATGATTTTTGACTAGGAGAAGGCGGGCAGATTTGACATGAAAAATTATCTACCCTCCAGAAATGACAATTTTTGTTTTTTTTTTTTTCTTAAAAATTTTGGAATAGACAGTTAAAAGGATTAAGAATTTAAGAAGGTGGATAACATGTCTTAATTTCTTAATTAAACAAGATTATACTGAATTAGGCGATAGGGTGTATTTTGACAAATGTGCCCCACAGTGGAGTAGATTTGACTTAGTAAAATATTGAGTGGGGCAGCTTTGACACATTATACAATTTGAAAGGAAAAATTATTTTTATTTAAAAAAAAATTGGTTTAACACAAATATTTGCTTATTTTATTAAAAAGTATTTCAAATGGTAACATAAACACAATTATTTTAAATTATAACTATCCAAATTGACATCAAACTCGTAGTATTTGTTTACAAGGATTGGTTTGGGTAAAACAGCAATACAATCCATTCGCCGATATCGGGCACTTCAGGATAAAAGAATTTATTTGAATTGATTTTTGTTCTTAAAAAATTAATTTGATATTCGTCAGTATCCACAACTTCCTAAACTCTGCCAACATAATAAACAATAGATGATTTGGTTGGAAATTCAACTAGTACAAAATCTTCTTTTTGTTCGAGTTGATCGTCCGTTAATTCTCCAAGAGAATTTGCTCCCATGCTATTGTCAGAATGAAATAACAAAAGGGTGTCGACATCGCTCTCTTCATCAGACTCTTTAATTTTTTTAATGCTTCTTTTTTTTGTGGCAGTGGCTGATTTTCCTTTTCTGTTCGGCATTCTAATACATCTTGTTGTCTTTTACCACAGGCTTTCTGAAAAACATCCCTTTTAGAATTACCCCTTTTAACATTTTTTAATTCTTTTTCTTTTCTTTTCATAGCTCTTTCTACTATTTTTGCATTTCTGGCGAATCAGTATGAACTATAGATTTTCCCTTCCTGTTTTAATATTAGAGCACTTTTTTAAAACGGGCAACGCTCTTACCATCTCTGGTGTTAGGACTATTTTAGCCTCGGTTCTGGTTATCCTATTTCATGTCCTGTTGTAAACTTTGTTGGTTTCACAATTGTTGGATCTATATCTGTGTCAATATCCACGCTAATCAAACTCTTTCTAGCACTTTGTCTTACTAGGACCAGCGGTATAAATATATGAAAGATTTGATTGTGTTTCATGCTCAGATTGAATTAAATGAGATTCATTGAATATGGTTGAATCAAATGCAACAATGCCTGAGGCAGAAAAACCAGAAGTTATATTTTTTTGTGTAAAGGAATCTAAAAATGAACTAGAAGTTATTTCTCCAATATCATAAATAGATACTTTTTGACCATGATGATTAATGATAAAATTGTTAAGAGATTTTTTAAAAAAAGATTTGAAAGATGAAAAAACTCCAACATCAAGCGGTTGTAGTTTGTGGGAGGTATGCGGAGGAAAACTTAGCAAAATAATACCGTTGTCACGACAAAATTGAAAAATATTAACTGAAATATGAGTTTCGCTATTATCCATTAAAAGGAGATATTTGTCTTCTTCAGCTTTTGGTGGTAGATGTTTTTTGATATAAAGATATCAGCGATAGAGATTTGCATCTAGACAAAATGCGTAAAAAGTCCAGAGATTTTACGGATGAGGTAGAAGAAGCGGAGCAAAACTATTTGAAGCAATTAATAGAAAAACGGGAAAAAATCACTAAGATGGACAAAGAAATAATAGGTTTTACTAAACGAATATCCCAATTAGAAGAAGAATTGCAAAATAGTGCTGAAAGAACTAAACAGAAAGAATTAGAATTAATTGAGTCACAAGTACTCAGCAAGCAGATGATAGCCACAATTCGAACATTGGAAGCAGACAATAGTATATACAGTAATGAACTGTGTCAACTTAGAAAAAGACTTACTAGTTCTGGTGAGTTTATGGAGAAATTATCAGATGCTTCGAATGTTGGTAATAAGGTGATTCGTAAATCACAACTGCTAATTATCGGTGACGCTAATGTAAGAGGATTTATATCTCTCTTTAAAAAATTAACAAATCGTAAATTTGATATAAACTGCCAACGTCTACATAAGCCAACTCCTAGCTGTATTTTAAAGCATGGCTCTAACCTAATGAAAAAATTGACTAAAAGTGACTACGTTATTCTTTTTTGGGGCTCTCAAATGGCTGTATCCGGTAAATCAATCAAAGACAGCCATATTAACGAGCTTTTAAATATCTGCAAGGATACTAATCTTATTCTGTTTGGTTCTCCTCTATTTAGAAATAGACCTGTATTGAATAGACTAATTCAAGAACAAAATTCTTCATTTTGTTCGAAACTCAAACTGAAGCCTGAAAACTCTGCAAATTTTGTACCCGTTAACTTCTTTACTTCGAATGGAATTTTGTTCTACGACGAAAAAACTTGTTTAGTGCAATCAATATGCGGAGACTTGCTTTCACATACATGCAATTCCTCATCAGTTTCAATAAATGGGACTTCTTTTCATCTGAGAAGATAAATTTTCCCCTTGCATCGATTCTGTAAATAATCACAATACGGTGAAAAATACATTCATTTCCATTTACTATCAGAATG